TTTCAGTATTTCTTAGTGGAACTGACCGTATTCACAAATAGAGCAGTGCATGAATGTAAGCTTAGAGTAAGGGAGTTGAGATCTCTCTCATGAATACAAAACGCGAAAATATACGAGATGGAAGGCCTATTGTTTTGATGTTTTCGTTCATGACAGATAAGACAAAGCTGATCTTGGCATTGATGACTGATGGTCTAAAGTCTAAACTGTTTAGGACCAAAAGACAACCGTCCAGAGTGGGCTTCCTGTGTGCACCTTCCCCCACCCCACTTATCACCCCACATGCCTTTACTCAGTTGCCACAGTGCAAATAGTGCAAAAAATATAAAATTAACTAAGTTATCTAAGTTGCAACTTAAAAGACAACCGTCCAGAGTGGGCTTCCGGTGTGCACAGTCCCCCAACCCACTTATCATCCCACATGCCTTTACCCAGTTGCCACAGTGCAAATAGTGCAAAAAATATAAAATCAACTAAATGACTATGGTTGTAACTCTGTTAAGGTTCAGTAACTTACGCCTATAACAACAGTGGCTGACGAGTCGTTCTGATTACACTGACGTCTTGTGATTGGACATTTTAGATTGAGTTTATCACTTTTTTGCGAATTTCAGTCCTGTAAGCTAGGATTCCTTTCAGTGAGTTCAGTCATTATTCTAATGTCCTTTACTCACTCCCAAAGAACACTTTAGACCTAATTAAAAAATTTACTCATAGGATTTGTATGAAAGAAAAACTGTTGAACATTAGTCGTTAAAACCACGTTGCTATGATTTTATTTAGGCTGGTTTCCATATGATCACTACCATCGCTGTGATCGCTGCGATCGCTGAGCAAAACAAAGTTCATCGATCGTGGCGATCACTGAGTGATCATATGGAAACCACTTTCTAGCGATCGCAGCGATCGCAGCGACAACGATCGCTGAGATAGAACTTTTCCTATCTCAGCAATCGTTGTCGCTGCGATCGCTGGAAAGCGGTTTCCACATGATCGCTATCATTGCTGCGCTCGCTGAACTTTTATTTTTCTCAGCGATCACAGCGATGGTAGCGATCATATGGAAACCAAACTTTAGAGAGCCGGAGAAATTACATATATCCGCCTTTTGCAGCCCCCTTAATCCTGGTTTCCATATGATCGGCTACGATCGCTGTGATCGCTGCGATCGCTGGAAAGTGTTTTCTATATAATCGCTATGACCGCTGCGATCACTGAACTTTTTTTTTCTCAGCGATCACAGCGATCATAACGATCATATGGAAACCAGGCTTAATTACAGATGACGTTTCTTTAGCTTGTTGTTAATCCTTGAAAAATGAATGATTTATAGATTCCGTCCTAGCCAAAAAGTTTGAACAAAATTTCGCCAAAATTTACATCAATCCTACATTGTTTGTCTATTTTTTTTTCTCATCCAATCAATTCAAGCTCAGACAAAAGGCACTCAAAAATTATTTATACTAGAGAATTCTGAAGACTGCCAAGCTGAGTCAAAACAAAATACTGCGTTCATCAAACCTATTTGGCGTCAAAACACCCAAATTAAGGCTTTTTAGTTCAACGAGTACTGAGCGAAAGCGAAATTAGCGAGTATAAGCAACGGCGTTTTTAAGCGATGCACATTAACCGGAAACTAGTTTTTACCGAGTCCTTTTCTCTTGAATTATGCCTTGGCGCCACCAAATTTCTATTGTCAAGTATCTTTAGTATTACAGCGCCGATTTGCCCGGAAATTTGGTCAAAATCATATATGACCCAAGAAAGCAAAAAGTCCACTTCCAGTTGACGTACGACGCTCAAAAACGTCGTTCTTAAACTTGCAGTTACTTGAAGATGGACGTAAAGGCTAGTATCTCATTATACTACATAATGACTCCCCTGGCAAACGAGATACCGGAACACGAACTTAACGAGTTGTTGAAAACATTATTTTTCGCTCTCGAACGAATGTGTCTGATGCCTGGACCAACTACCGACTTAACGAGAGCGCTACGTTTCCAGTTCTGCACCCCCGTATATCGACTTGACTGATACAGAACTCTCTCTGAGACAGCGCTTAATTAAAGGGATGTTGAAGAATCGTAAAGGAAAATAATATTTTCCGGTTTGTTCTTATGTTGTTGTTGCTTTTTTTTAAGTTACAGTGAATAATTTCTAAAAGGCTTTCTTAAGTATCTTTGTCTGTGTGTACACGGCGGTGTGATACAAAAGTAAAGATGGACGGCTTGTTTGTTCTGGTTAACGATAATTGATAAGAGTTTGCGCTGGAAACAATATCGCATGCAAATTGGCAGATTGAAATTTTTCACTCGCCCTGATAATACTCATGCAAAATTTAAAACAATCTTGTCTTCTTTTCCCAACCTTTTAACATGCACTTTTCTTATACAACACCAGCAGTTGCAGCCGGCTGACATTAACTAGACACTGAGTTATTATAATCAACCTAATAATTTTGTAATTCTCCTAGTATTTAAGAGTGTGTCCATGAGAGAACCAGGCAGGAGGTGATAATGCTCAAATCACGGATTTCGCTCAAACTTGGCACAATTGATGGGTGTGGTGAGATATTAACCTCGACAAAAAATAAGGTCGCAATATTGAATTCCCTGGGATTTACAGGGACCCCCCCTAAAAACGACAAAATCTACTCATTTTTGCATAATTAATTAGCTGACTTTGGTTTGGCTGTTCAACAAGAAGAAAAGACAACTTCAAATCTAATCAACTTCATCATCTTCTATGTTTATCAAACTTAATGCTCAGTAATTAATTTTTACTCTCTAATTCGATCTCTTCCTATTATTTAGCCTAAAGTAAGGACATCTTCTCACTGTTTTGACCAAACCCTAAATTTAAGGTATTTTAGTGGCTAACATCTCCCATGAGCAACAACCTATGTACTTAATTCTCACATATTCTTTGAAAGACATCTTTAAGGTTATTAAATCAATCATAAAATATTTGGGCAATCTCATACTTTATCAATAATGACGTATTATGTACATCTGACTTGACGCTTATTTGTCATTTGACCAAAATTGGAAGAAACGTAACATTCGTTTTTTTAAACAAAAATAGCACAAAGTTGACGAGAAGTCACAAATCAGATGCGTCATTATCGATACTAATAGCGGAATTGTTAGAACTGGTCGCCTGAGGCATGTTTTCTGTGTTATTTATGGACGTTTGGATGGATATTTTATGGAACGCTTGAGTAAACACAAGGAGCAAAAGAGTTAGTTCAAAACTTCGATCGGTCCAACTTGTAGGTGAAACAAGACCCAACAAGGATAAAAGATAGTGAATAAATGTTACATACACGTCCCTCAGCTGCTTTAGTCCAGATTTGCTGTTCCAGTAGTTCATCTGGTCCTTTGTGGCGTTACTTCGTGACGAGGTAATGAAATCGAAACGTCTTGAAACATTGCAGAATTAAAAGTGTCGGCTTTTCACCGAACATTCGAAGTCTTTGAAATAAGTTGTAGTCAGAAAGAGCAAAATCATTCTCAAAGGACAAGAAGGATCACTGACAATCGGTCTATATCTACAGAAAACAACCACCTGCTCGAACACCCTCCATCTTGACTTTAGACTCTCCCAAAAAGATGGAATCTGTGACGCCGGACTACCGGACTCCGGAATGCGGAATACGCTATCTATTGTTGTATGCGCCAATATCCTGTTATAACTGGTGTGTTGAAAATAGGTCGTGAAAGTCGTGTTACTTGAAATTTTGAGTTTATTCGATGTTGACATTAATTACCATGATAATAATGGTCCATAATAGCCCTTTTTGTAGTCAGACCGTGCCGTGCAATTTTTAGACAATTAATGACTTGCCACTGGGTATAATTACTTACTTAGTTGTATTTTAATCCTCGTAGTCTTACAACTATACAGGTTGGTATCTGTATCTGGGTATATTATTGACTACAAAAATATAATAATAACCGTTTATAAAAGTGTTGAGGAAAAACTTCTGAGGAATACAAAAGACCCAAAAGGGGGCACTAATTCATTGCAAAAAAAGTCGGCTAGACTTCTTTGGCTATAAGGAAGGTGTAAGAGAACAGTTTCTTGAACACAGACTAATACACTATATTCACTTCTCATTTAAGCTGTCATTTGCGGATTCATACAGTAGATTAAGTTCTCTTAACGGACACTCTCGTATATAGCGAATAGCTCTACTTACGCCCTCCATCACAAAATACCGTTTCAACTTCCACACAAACTCTGGATTTTTACATTCCCGTAGGCGGCCGCGGACACTTAAAGGGTTTACCGGCGAATTAGATGTTAGCTTTGATTTAAAGCTCTCCTAAGCAGACACTCGAAAGAAATCTTATCCGCCTCTGAATGTTGTTTTTTTTTGTTCATATCATGTCCACAGTCATATGGCAGTTTGTCACTGTTATGAATCATTCTTATATATCCGTTTCAGAGTTACCGTTTTTCCACATACTCGTCCGGTTACACTTGAAAATACAAACTGAATTGTATGCTTTTACGTAAATTACAACAAGGCAAGAACATCAGCGTAACCATACACTAAAAAACAGTTTTTTGCTATTACCAGTGTTAATTTGTAGCTGGGAGGAGCTTCCGTAAGCGGCTATCTAACCTTTACACCACTTTTAAAGTGGCTGAATTCCACTTGCATAACTATGCTGCATATGAGATTCATTCTTGTAAGCGGCCAGATCCAGTTAAGGACACCTTTTTGTCGTCCCGAGGGCACCCTCGTACGAGAGCTTCCACTGTATTACAATTTTAGGATTTCTCTTACATTTTAACAAATTTTCGCTTAACGAGGCACAGTCGAACCTACGTGCGACCACCCAACTTAAGTGACCACTTCCCAATAAGCGATCACTTATTCAAAACATGCACCAAATATATTATCAAGTCAAGCGCTTGTAGTTGGAACCTCCTGTAAACGAACACATCCACATCCAGTAAGCGACCGCGACCACTCAGTTTACGATGACAGT